AAAGTGTTTTTATATTTGAGTTTTGTATATATTTGTACAATATAGGTATTAACTATGCATGAGACAGGACAACAGATTTTTGACATAAATTTTTAATCGTACTCAGAGAATTAGCTTGGGGTTATCATCACCAATTAAAATGATCCTAACAAGTAGAAGAGTGCACGAAAAACAAAAATACGGAAAACATGAGTGAGTGATGTATCAGAGCAGCCAACCATTACACCATTGGTTACAAATGGCCAATTAAAAAATGAATGAAGAGAGATCTTCACTGGAGAAGTCTTGATCAAGTTCACTCAAAACATTGAAATAAACTCTCATTCCTTTAAGGTAAAGGAAACGGACCGTAAAATAAATTCATTGGCATATCAAAAAGTTAGCTTCAATATAAATGTTCATCTAACAGGAAAAATAGCTCTGAAACAGCAATAACAAATATACTGCAAACCCATAATACTATCACTTTGTTTTTGTCACCTGTCTTTGCACAAAGTGCCTTGAAATACTTATGTGTGCAGAGCTGCTTGTGTGAAGGCATAGTTGTTTTGATTATGAATAACTGAATGACTTTAAAAATGGAAATAGTATCTATACATGGATGTCCCTGGCATTATTTTGACACTTTATTCCACATTTGTTCCACTGCTACTTTTGAATCTATAATTGTTTGTTGCCCTCCTCATGTTTAATAAGTGGACCGCATCTAAGTTTAAATCAGTGTTGGAGTAGGCACCAATAATATTGCATCCATTGAAATTGATTAAACCGGTAAGGACTTTTAGGCCAAAGGAGAAGTGTGTCAACAGTTGCAATGATAATTTCTGTCAATTTCAATTCAGTTTCAATTGAGTTGATTTAAATGGAGCCAATTTTCAACACATGTCATCTCAAGGCACTTTACAATTCACCAGATCATACAGTGAAATTGATTCAAAGTTTTCTATCTAAGGAAAACCAGTTGATTGCATCGAATCATTGACTCAAATGCAATCCCTCACTGTCTTTCTCTGTCCTAATAGTTCTAGCAGTAAGGGATAAGAGAAGGGGGCGTAAAAACTAAAATGATGTAACTCGACTATTGTCCCTGTGCAAATGCATCAAGCCCTTTAAAAGAAAAGGCCTGGAGAGAAGGTGAGTCAGAATGTAAAACAGCTTAAGAGGCTAAGGGGCTGTGGGAGAGTGAGAAAATGAATAACAGTGACAGAAAGAGGAAAAACTTCAATAAAAAGAATCTAACAAAGGATAACACAAGGTACTTGAGAATGAACTAATGACCTAATTAACAATAACTTAACTAAAATGGAAGTACATACAATAGCATAAACTGCAAGTGTTAGGATAATTATCACTGAAGATGTGTGAGTTTATCACACCCTGGTATGGGCTTTCTGTTGCCCGTCAGAACTGACATTTTAATCTAATTAGGACAATTCCTCTCTCTGCATTTACAGTTATAATCTTAATTTTTCAGTGGCAAAGATTTGGAAATGGAATGAGAGCGGTGTCCTATTTTGATAAGGCTGGAGCCATGGATGTCTAATCATCTGCTAATGTGTATGATGTAAAATATGATGATGTGGTAGACCGGAGATGTATAAAATGCCTTTTAAACTGTCTCCTGGTTATTTAATACATAAAAGTTATGAAGTGTTTTTTAAAGAGTTTGTCCCGAGTGATCTCTTTTCAGGGAAAAGAACTGGAGACATAGAGCATCAGGGTTCATACACAGAGCCTCTTTAACACAAGGAAGAATCAAAGACACGTAAAGAAACGCAAAATAAAGGGATAATCCTTTTATTGGGGTTCAGTGTGTCCCAAACCTTTGCCATTTGATCTAATCTATGCATCATAAATGCTGAAATAATGTGCTTTTTTACTTTTAGTATGCGTGTATAAATGTTCAAATCTAAATATTGGTCCTAGTTGTAGAACTTACTTTTTCCTCTCATTTTATATGTACTCTGGAGAGTGGCGGCCTAGTGGTTAGCTTGGAATCCAGAGGTTCTGAGTTCAATCCCCACTCCCACAGATGACCACTCTTGTTCCTTGAGCAAGACTCTTAACTCCACTCCCCGGACACAGCACAATAGCAACCCACTGTTCCCCAAGGGGATGGGTTAAATGCAGAAAGTTAATTCCATTGCTCTGTACTTGTGACAGTGTAATGACAAGAAAAAGCTGTAAAATGTTCTTCGTTATGTATGATCATGTGATACTTGAATTTATCTGGTGTCGTTATATTTCTGTAATATACCGCCCGTTTTCAAGCACTTGCCTTGTTTACATTGTTTTTATGTACAATCAAGAATTACAAGAATGTCAGACAGGAAAGGATGAGTAATTGGTTTTCTAAAGGGATGTTAATTTTTCATTGTTCCTGAAAAGATTTCTGCCTTTCCTTCCTTGTCCTTGTTTCCTGGCAGACACGGGGTGGTGAGATATTTTTCTTTGCTAATATGCGTCTTAGAAATTTAGAAAGGTTCCTTCTCTTACCATAAAAGACGTCATTGCTTTCCCTTTTGACAGTTGTTGTATAATCAAGAAAACTACACTTTGAAAAATTATTTTATGTTAATTTGTTTGATTTGTATATTTACTTATTCATAAATATAGTGACGGATTTTTGGATCTATAGTTTTTCTTTTATGTCTTAAGCTTTATTTTCTCTTTTTTTTTTACTTACGTTTCTGGTGTTACAGGGTCAGTTTATTTTGGGTGGAAAAAAAAGACCACAAAAAATATAATAAAAAGAAAGAAATTTGAAAACAGAAACATTCTAAAGTTAATCTCTTTATTGAAAGAAGTCAACCAGCATCGCTATATATATACACTATATTGCCAAAAGTATTTGCTCACCCATCCAAATTATTGGAATCAGGTGTTCCAATCACTTCCATGGCCACAGGTGTATAAATTCAAGCACCTAGGCATGCAGACTGTTTTTACAAACATTTGTGAAAGAATGGGTCGCTCTCAGGAGCTCAGTGAATTCCACCGTGGAACGGTGATAGGGCGCCCCCTG